GTTTTAAACAGATGGTTTTAGCTGTTTTTAAACCAGTACAGTCACCAAAGTGCCAGTGTGGAGAAGCGGACCAAATGTGTGGAACAAATCCTCCAGCAGTGCAGGAAGACAGAGGGCTCTGAGACACGTAACATTGACATTACATAAGAAGATGTTCTGGGCCAAAAGGAGAACTGGGCGGGACGGCCTAGTGTGATTTCTATTGTTACGCGATCGAGAAAAATAAGAAGACAAGCTATTTAACTGAGCTGCAACTTTACTTCTCGAGGAACCAAATATCACCACAATGATTTTTTCCTAGGGTTCGCAAAGGATTTTCCCATTTCACCGAATCATAAACCACCAACGGTGTATAACATAGTATAGTACGCCATTCCCTTTAAAATGGTGCTTTCCACTCTTTACAGCCTTTTATAGAAATTCTGCCAACACCATCGTTGGGGCCGCTTTACACTGTATTTTAATACAGAGGGGGCTAATCTGAATTAAAGAAGAATATTCAATTTCCCAATCTCAATAGATATAGATGACACCACATAGATAGAAGTCGTTGTGTCCGCGTTAAGTTTGCAGCTTTGCTTTTTACACAGAGTCAACAGAGATAGAAAAACTGGAAAGAATGATAACAGTAATGAGTAATTATACTAACAAGGGAACGCTGTTGGCAAAAACTCAGTTAGGTATAGATATATCTAATTGTTTTTTGAGTCAAAATTTGTCAAAAATATCTTCAGATTTTTTCCTCAAGCAAAAAATACTCTTCCCGAAACATGTTACCAAACAAAAAAGTCTAAACATCAACATGCTTCCATATTCCCTCACCCTGGAATGAGAAGAGAAAAAATAGACAGAGAAGAAATAAAAAAAACCAGGAGATAAAAGAAGAGAAAAGGAAGAACAAAAGGAGAAAAGCAACAATTTTGAGTTTTTGAAACAAGAAACCGCCCGTGGTATTTGTGGTCTCTGATAGATGTTGAATTTCGGGTGGTATTGATTCAAACAAAAACAACTGAATAATGACAAAATCATTCACCGCAATTAGCTGAGTGACCTACTCAACACAACTCGTGGATCAAGTTCTAGATCTAGTCCATACACAAAGTTTGTTCTTACGTGCAACAGATCATTTAAAGTAACGGGTTTTTTTTCACTGTCTCACAATAATATTGGCTTAGACAAGAAGACTTCTCTTATCTCTGAGAAGACGTCATGAGACACTCGGGTGATCTGCGGGTTATCACCTCGAGGCACTCAGAAAATGGGGCCACGCAACACAGCAGTGATAAGAAAGCATCAAATGAGCAAGAGCGCTGGTAGCAAAGATAACGTGTGTCCATGCTAAGCAAACGGCTAATCAATCGACTAATGACACCAGACTGGAAGAGATTCATAAACAAAAGTGCCTACATGGGTTTTCAACCTCATATGGTTAGCATCTACGAAAGTCTTACTTTTAACTACAATCGGATACTGCAAGACTATCCCTAATCGCCATTGCTTGAACCATTGCTTCCTATTCTTATTCACACACACAGGGCAATTTCGCATCACCAGCTGCGTTCTGAAACGGAAATTCACATGCACAAAAATGTTTCAAAAAATATCAATACAACCGCAGAACTTTGAAGACCGAACTCTTCACAAGAGAGAACATTCATCTAGCGGGGATTGTATAAAGTTTGGCTAAGGCATTAATTAATTCCCCCAAATTTAGCTTAAACAGTCCACTTTGTAAAGATCTGACCTCTCTGTTTGTCTCACTGAAGGCTACATGTTTACCAGCCAGTCCAAAGTGTCAAACATCAGTTGGCCAACAACCAAAAGAACCATTATTTTTTTAACTGTTTCATTTTTATGGACGGAGCTCGAAAATAGTACAATGAAGCATGGGTCTGCTGAGCTGGTCTAGCTCTGACCACTCACTTTACAGTCAAGATTGCTCTAATTCGATACAGAAGAATAAATAGCACCTATATATAGTCTACATTCACAGCGTGTTAACGACAACGCGGGTTATTCCTTGCACTGAAAAAGTCTCTGTCAGGCTTTTCTTTATCGGACCACTCCTCAACGTCTTACTTTTATGTCGGCTTAGATACAGCTTTTGCATATATTATAGCAGACATTGAGCTCGCTAATGTTTGAGGTTACACACAACTAAGTGTCATTATTACCCGTATATTTGAAACGCCTTCACTCATGGTGTTTACCATAAATTCTACAGATGGAGCTTCTTCTACCCTCCATGCCCAGTCTCGAACTTACACTTTTTGTACTGAAAGCAGCAGACATAACTTCCGCAAACTGGGCGATTCTAGTATTGGAAAGGAGGAACGGTAATATTAATTTACACGATGAATCATTTTGGCAAGAACCGATTAATATAGATTTATGAAAATTCTAAAAATATCCATACGTCGTGAACGTACATCACAGAGAATGATGTACCTAAGTAAAGGTCGTAGCAATGGTACTTGCAAATTAAACCCCTATGAAGTAAAATTATGATTCCACTATGAATCACTACAAAGCGAACATTAAGTTGTATTTAGTTGCATGTTCCGACCAGTCCATCACTGATTATGCAGAATTAAGATCAAATTGCGCTAAAGTCATAATGTACACATGGTCGGAAGGTAGAATGAACAAGCATTAGACAGAAAACTCCCGACAGACTATATCAAGCTGATCATATACTATTCTTGCATATGTCAGTTCTCGCAATTTGGACCTGATTGATACAACAGTCTTGGAGCTTTAGGATTTGGGCTAGGAGTCAGAATGTAGATGTACAACCCCCCCCCCCCCCCCCAAATGAAAAAAACACAAAAAAACAAGAGGGGATTATGACGACAAAGAATGGATGATCAAGATACATCAGCACTTAGCAGTCTAGAACGATATGCCTAAAGTTTATTATTGATAGGAAAGAAAATAGCTTAGTGCTCTGTCCTCCAGCTCATAAGGAAAGTAAATATCAATTAAACAATGCATGAATTTAGAATAAAAAATCAGACAATGAATCGCTGATCATGAAAATAAATAAAATTTAAAAAATAATAAATACATAAATTAAAAAAACCCCAAACAAATTAATGCAATTGGTGGGTAGCAATTCTAGTACAAGGAATATAGTACAATAACCCATCAATATCGCAATTTAATGGCATGAAATAACTATTTTATCATAATGATATGCCTTGACGGACTGCATCATCTCTTTATGTTTTCAGCTTAATGTTTTTTTCCAAAGAATCTTTTTGTGGATCCACCCGAACCCCATCCATAACGTACCCCCTCCCCCTCATTTTCCCCCCAAATCTCCTATACGTAAAACGCCAATAAATAAAAGGAATTTATAAGCAAATGTGTTTTGTAAGGAAATAAATCAATTATATCAATTATATGGATTAAAGATGAGATGATTAATTCGTTTCATTGCAGGTTGGGGATGGGGGGGGGGGGGTGGTGGAGGGGCTGCAATTTAAGAATTAATTGTTTCAGGGTACGTCTAAGGTTGCCATAACACTGTTTCCTTCTGTGTTCTGATTGGCTCTACTGATTGGCGCTTCATGGTTGACAAATTTTTAATCGGTTAACCGTTTCATCCTTTTTGTGCTTGCATTTTTAAAAAGACCTCATTAGAACTCCCCAGATGATACTACAGCGCCTTACCTGGCATTTACTATAAGAGAATAAGACCACTTCATCTGGAATCAGAGTTCGATAACAACAAGAGAGGGTGGTTGGTTATTCATTTAATTTTTGTTTCTATCACTCCAGATAAGAAAAGGAAACGAACGTAAGGCTGTACAAAACTCCAGGGGATACGGGACGTAGTATGTGTGTCTGTGTTTCTTTTTTGTCTTCTATTGTTTTATTGTTTTATTTGTTTTTAGTTTCATTTTGTTTTATTCTTTTCTGTATAATTTGTCTTCTAAGACTTTTGTTTGCTTGTTGTTTTTTGTTTTGGGTCTGTTGGTTTCTTTTTGTGGGGAAGGGGGATTAGAAGGGGAGAGTGTCTTTTTGTACGGAATTGAGCTTTTGAGGAGGGAGGGGCTGGGCATAGTTCTAAGTTTCCTACGTCAAAGTCCTGAATTCCCTTCAAAGTCCTGAGTACTCCTGGTCTACGTTAAGAAATTGTTGCTTTGCGTTTATGATTTATTTCTTTAGACAGAATGAGACCTGCCATTGAATTGAGCTTTTTGCATCGAAAGTGGGGATATCCGAGCGACCTCTAAATGGGAGAAACACCAGCAAGGAACCGAAACTCCTTCCCAAGAAAATCAAACATCCCACCACATGGGCAGAATCAAGTAAGTTAAAAAAAATGCTAAATTGCACAGTCTGTCTGAACCACCTACAAAACAACGATCCAGGCCAATCATAACTGCTGCACTGAGGAAAGTATGGCGAATTAAATGTCTAAATGGTCTAAAGTTTTTTTTTTAAATACGCTGTTGTACAAGTTAGAACTGATTCTATACTAATGTTAGATAGCTTCTAAGTCAATGCAGAGGAGTTCAAATCTGACGTACTACATTATTGTTAGTTACTCAAGGATAATTGTTGTTGGCTATAGCAGCGTCAAATCACACAAAGTCAGCTTATTGTATACTTGATGACCATTGTTTCTGAAATCTACGAATCATGAGTAAGCTCCTTTGATCTTCACACACACACACACACACACACACACACACACACACACACACACACGCACACACATACACACACATACACACATACACACACACACACACGCACACACGCACACACAAACACACACACACACACACACACACACGCAAACGCACACATACACACACACAAATACATACATACACACACGCACACACATACACACACATACACACATACACACACACACGCACACACGCACACACGCACACACAAACACACACAAACACACACATACACACATACACACGCACACACATATTTACTCGAACACAGAGATTATATAGCTCACGACTCACCGGCACACGTGCGAAAGAGCTCATCCACGTCCAGTCATCCGCCGCTCCCGATCCTTCTTCTCCATAAGCATGCCTCTTTGTCCTGACGTTCTCTTGCCCATAACTCGGGTGGTCTTCCTCTTCCAAGAACGCCCCGAGGTGTAGCTCCTGGTCTTGAGAGATATAAGGCATCAGAAGTTCGCTGTTTGAGATTCCCCGCTCTGGAAGATAGAGCTCAACCATTTCTTTGATGGTCACTTTGTGAGTCAGTTCTTCCCTGAGTGCGCTTATTTCGAGGTAGAAAATTACAATGGAAGAAACGAGCATAAACGTAAGGCAAGTCATCACAGCGTATAGAACACGGATGTGATGCTGAAGAGACGAGAACTTTGGCAGAAGGATCGTCTGTTGTGGTATGAGCAGGCTGTCCGTACGTTCGCTGGTGGAAGATGAAGAGCAGCAGCCATTGTTCTCCTCACAAGCTGGCGTCCCTTGACTACCTTGACTACCACAAGGGCAGAGACGATTCATAAGGTGATCCTTCTCATGTTGGGTCAAATCATCTTTCACGCAGTCTTTGGGTGCTGTCCTAATGTCATTGACTGTTTGGTGTCCATTACTGGACTCCTTGTGACAGCTAATCATTTTGGATCTGGAACGATGCAAATAAATAACGTTATGATTAAATTTTAAATGGTATTTATTCTTAGCAAAGAAGATGGATGGATGATTGGGTGGGCAAAAGCATGTGTATGTCTTAAGGACGGCTTAACGAAATGCTGAAACAACAGAGGAACTGATGAGTTAACAGAGATAGGAGACGGGTGGCTATGTAGTTCCTTTGACGATATAAAGAACAGTAACTAGAGGGTGTAGAAAAAAGAGGACCCGCTTTAAGGGCATTAACTCGTTCATCTCATCAATTTCAACAAAACGTGGAACAATTAAAATCCAACCAGGGAGGGGGGCAAATGTGTAAATGTAAAGAAAATCAGTTGGTGAAATATCAAGTTTTTCAAATTTCAACCTGATTGGGTAAAAAGAAAATTTCACTCCTTTATGTCGTTTAGTTACAGGGGTGTGATTTGCCCATTCAGGCTTCAGGACGAGGACGGTAAAACCACAACAATTACCTATGAATAATATCTCACAGCGCTGAGAAAGTTTTGGAGAAGTTTTGGGAGGAGACGGTGTTATTGTTATGCTGTATAAGCCTTACTTCAGTGGGATGGTACCACATCCCACACATCAGGAGGGACCCGGATATGGTTGTAAGAAAGGTCTGCGAAACACCTTTTGGGCAGAAAGTTTACAAATGAATAATTACCTCATCCCCCCCTGCCCCCCCCCCAACTTGAGCCCACCCAATTACTTCCTTTATAATTATTTTGACAGTTAGAGTCTTCGGGAAGAACCCACAAGCAATCGAACTCATTTTGTTTAAAAGGATGTCCAAAGAATCGGCCCAGAAACACGCCGCAGTGTTATTCAGATTGTCCAGTCGAGTATTGAAGCTTGTTTGGAAAGAAATGGTCAACACCTGGAGATTTAAATAGGGACTATCTTTCTCATGGTCATTTCGCAATTCAGTTTTATATTACTTTTCTTCTTCTTCTTCAAAAAAATATGACTATTTGAAATAGAACGGTGTGGGTGATTTTTTAACAATTTTTTTTAGGATTTTGGCTAAAATTTTATCAACTTGATATCTTCAGAACATATCAGTCGAGTTTTTTCATATTGAGAAAAGCAGTGCCCCTCTGGGTGAATTTTATATTTCTGCAAAGTTTTATAAAAATTGATACAAAGAGGATCGAGTTAGTGAAGCGTAAATGATATTTTTTAGACACCCGAATAGAAAAATTGATGCATAGATTGACTGATGAGTATAAATGACTCGTGAACTCATCAACACGCCATTTTATATCATTTAGACAATACCATGTCTACAGTGTCAGTTTGAGTTGAGTTGGTTACAGTGTCCCAGCAAGAAGAGTTGTTGTGTGAGAATCAACCTCACGTCATTTAGATAAACAGAGAAGAGCGCGCTAGATGGATAGATAGATAGATAGATAGATAGATAGATAGATAGATAGATAGATAGATAGAT